ACACCCACACCCACACCCACACCCACACCCACACACCCCACACCCTAATCAGTATTTTCATAATTAAAGATTTTTGCTGATCTTTAAATAGCGTTACAAATCAAATACCTTAGTTATTATGTATTTTACTACCGCGTTTAGCCAAACAGCAGATAATCATTTTCCATAATGTTCCAACGGACAAATCGTTTGTCTTCAGTCATTGGTGGCTGAAAGACTTAGTTTCAACAAATAAAAGTCTTTGCGGACCTTTAAAGACTCATGTCTTCTCAACAAAAATACCTTACGTTGAAGGTACTGTAGTGCGACACAAAATCAGAACGACAGAATATCTTTTTAAAGATATTTTCACTTAAAAAAAGTTTATAGTTCGTTTTGCGGAAGAAGGCATGCCATATTCACGAAATAGTGATCCTCCGAAGCCTCGAAACATCATTCTATAACAAATGAACTTATTTTTAAGTTATGTGTGAATCCAGAGACAATGGAATCGAATAAACGAGTTTCTGAGCAATTTCAGCAGAGCAAGTTGTGGAATCAAACTATTTCTCAGAAGAGATCTCAGTTCTAGTAAATATTGTTCATTAGACGTGCTTAAAGACCACTAGATCTGAAAAGACAAAGATATTAATGTATTTTTCCGTATGCATAAGGGTAGAATGATAAAAAACCATTGTTGTCACTTGCTTCAGACGATCGACGAATTATATCCTACCGTCAGTAAAAATTATTGATAATAGTAGCAAATTACGTGTATTGAGATCTTCAAACTTTAGTTTTTAGTGACGCCAATTTGTTTTTTGTTTAAGCAATGGTGCAAAGACTTAGTGATTCTTTGTGAACGAAATAAGTGTTCTTTGATACTTTTAGTATGTTGCTTAAGTTGAGTGATAGCGCTCTTCCATACTTAGCATCCATAGGGATTTTCGTTTAATAAAAAACTCCATAACACTGAAGGAAAAATATTCTCATGTCGCATGAGACTTTGTTGTATTGATCAGCGATTGCAATGTTATCAAATTCTAACGAACAAATGTTTCAACAATAAAACAATCACAGGATGCATGCCAAATTCAGATGAAAATTACTCCTAATCTTTCAGTGACTCCTTACTTCTCAAATGGATCTAAATCCTGATCTATCCTTCGTCGATACAGGTATCTACAGTCGCTACTGTAATGACACCAGCTATATATCTGACTGCTCGGCTTCAGTGACATCTACGGTATCACCAACCTTCATGTGGACATTCATATGATTTTTATTATTTTCAAAGCACGTTATTCCTACATTAGTCAACACTTGAATGGCATGATATGTGTTTTGCACTTGTATATATGGGGTGTGATCTGTCTACTTAGCATATGGAAGACTCGGATCATTTTGAGACATTTTTATCCCTTCACATTTCCAAGTTCTACTTAAGATCTTTTTGAGATTTCTTATGTCTTGAAAGAAACTTAAATCTTTAATTTTCGCTCAGCCATACAAATGTCTAGAGTTCGGATGATGCCGACTTCGGGTACCTAGCTGACAACTAAATTATGGTGATATCTGACCACTTCTGGTACTTACTAGTACGATTTCATACCACTTTTAATATTTTCGAAGCATGTTACTCCTATTTGAGTCAACACACTCGAATGACATGGTACACGTTATGCGCTGGTATATATAGGGTGGGGTCCGTCCACTTGGCAGACGGAAGACTGAGATAATTTTGAGACTTTTTTTTGATCCCTTTACATTTCCAAGTTCTACTTAAGATCTTTCTGAGATTATCTTCACCTCTTTCCTAGATCAACTATAGATCTTCCTGAGATCAAATATAGGACTGATTTTGATCAACTGAAGTCTTTGTTAGATGAACTATAGGTCTTTTTTCATCAATGACTCTATTCAATGACTTTTGTGATCCGAAAAATCTTTTTCGGAATCCTTGTGGCTTTGAAGAAGCGAATATCTTCACTTTCAGTTCATGCCTACCAATATTTAGAATTCCGATGATGCTGCCGTCAGGCACTTATCGGGCAACCCAAGTAGAGTGATATCTTACGATATCTGCAGACCTCGTCTGGAAATTGACATGTCTTTGAATGTAGTCAAAATCATGTTATGGCTGCATGAGTCAGCACCTGAATGACATGGTAGAAAATGGCGCGCTGGTAGATATAGATTATGATCTGTCTACTGTGCAACCGAAAGAGTTAAAGGTTATCTTGAGAGGTTTTGTTCTTGTAATATCTGTAGATTTTTTCAAATGGATCAAAAATAATAATCGTGTTGCTTAAAGTACGTAAAAAATAGCCAGCATAGTGGTGTGTAATCTGTGTCTTATGCAGTAAAAATATAGTTTTCTAAGTTTATGCTGCTCCATTAGTATACAGATAGATTGACGCTTGATTAATATGAAGAAATATACAATATGTAAGAACCTTATTGAATGAACTTCATTATTAAAAAAAGTTCTGTTTTTTCTTTTGAAAGTTCGCGATTTTCATTAATCGATATTGAATATAGACAAATTGACATGATTGTCAGATGTCTGAATATTATGACTTCTATATTGTCCATGGTATGCCGTTCATTATTCTAATTATGTTACTAAGAAAATACGGAGTCAACAGCTAAATAAAAATTCATTAGATTTTGACTAGAAAAGTTAAAACCTTTATTCTTTTATACAACGAATTAAGAGGACTTTGGTTTTATTCTTAGGTTGCATACCGGGTTCAGCTCGTGGTGTATGGAAGAGCAACTTTTATCAATAAACCAACAGATGATCGAAATTAGAGGGTAGAATTGGCAAGTCCTCAAGGTGCATATCGAAGAGAAACTATATAGTTGCTATCTAGACCATAAAGTTGTATAAAATAATAATCGCATTGAATATGATCGAAAGGCTTCATATTTATTTAGAGCTTCGATTCTTTGTTGCGAACCATTCTCAATCTTAATTTTCTTAATTTTTTGATTCATGAACTTTCGCAAAAGAGAAATTAATTATTCGGGTAAAAATCATCAGTACAAGGGAAAAAGAAAGAATAACATCTGTAATGTGTCTTGCCATATCCAATTTCTAAATCCAAGCTAAAGATTTACGTCGATATGATCTTCGCCACTGAATCGGAAATATGCGGAACATGACCCGGCTCCTGTTCTTAAGGTACTATATCGGAACCTTAGACGGGAACCGTACCAGATACGAGATGCACATAGGCTCGGATCCTGGTGACCTGGTATTACATCGGAAACTTAGCGAGGAAAGGAAACGGAAACAGCGACCGAATCCAAAGATTTTTTCCAGCATGGGAATTGCTAGGTAATGTCCAGAAACCGATAGCCAGAACCGATTGTGGGATACTGCTTCCGGGAAATCACCGGAAATACACAAGATACAATCGTTTTCTGCCGTACGTTTTTGACCTGGAATGTTTAGCTTTTTTTATCATTCTGGATACAATTTGATTTCTTTTACCCATATGTTATATTCACTTTTCTCCTGCTCTCAATTTTAAATTCGGCCATATCCCAAAAATATAAAAAATTTTCCATAAAACTTCTTCAATTTTGAGAACTTTGAAAGAGATTTTTGAGGTTTTGAATGTCTAAAAATAATGTTGATCTGAGTCTTTTAAGAGTCCAATGCAAAATTATGCAAATTATGCGTATTTTGATGGAAAGATACTAATTAAACATTTAATTTTCTGAATTTATTACTTAATTAATGAGAGAGATCTTGTAATACGCCTTTCAAACCTCTTAACCAGAGAGGTCTTCTATTGCAAGGTGGATTTATGTGTCACTGAAAGTACAACAATTAACATTCGCATATATGTCGTGTGAAATAATAAAGACAACGTCTTGTGTTTACAGGAGAAAACTTCTTTCTACCACGAGTCACATACCTGCTACTATGAAATTCGAACAGTTATCAAATGAAATTTTCCGCGAATGTTTCCAATATCTTACTGCGACAGACATATTTTATTCATTTGATCGACTCAACTATCGTTTTTACACACTTATTCGAAACATTCCATTACATGTTAACTTTCAAAATATTCGGAAATCAACATTTGATCAATTTTGTTTAACAATATCATCTATTCCACAAATGAAGAATCAAATTATTTCATTGAAATTATCCAATGAAGGTACATGTGGACAAATTGATAAGTTTCTCTCATTATTCTCATTAGAAGAATTCTCTAATCTTCAATCATTAACAGTAAATGAACTTAAAGAAGAGACAATAGAAATATTGACATCACTATTACCATCAATGTCTCAACTTCGTTGCTTTGATTCCACTGATTGGGAAGATGATATTTCACCTGTAATGCAATTAGCAAATCTACGGACATTAGTAGTAAACAGGTTCTTTCTTGACTACGATCATTTACATAATTCTTTGTCAATTGTTAATTTAACAATACACACCTGCAGTTTCGATGAGCTATATGAGATATTCCCTTTTACTCCTATGTTGAAATATCTTAATGCTAATATTACATATTCATGTCGGTCTGATGATGATCGAGCAGCTATTGAAGCTGATTCAAATTGTGATAAAGCAATTCATCTACAGAAAATAGTTTTTCCTAGTTTTGAAGAAACATTTCAAATTTTGAAATTCATTCTAAAACAAACACGAAATTTTAAAAGTTTAACAATATCATCTAAAAACAAAACAATGATTGATGCATATGGCTGGCAAGATTTCATAACATCTTCATTACCACATCTCAATATCTTCAATTTCATGTTTCATTGTGGAGAAAACGCTTATGATAAATCGACTATTTTTAATTTTAAACAATTTCAAAGTAGTTTTTGGAAAGAACAGCATCATTGGTACACTCAGTATATATTAAATAGAGATTCTATATACATTTATACAATACCTTATATGTCAACAACATATGAATTAACACAGTATGTGAATATATGTTATAACAAAGAAATGGATAATATTGATAAATTTAAGAATGTGAAAAAGGTCATTTTAGATCAAAACGTTATTAAAGAAGAATGCAAATTTTATTTTGGAAATATCGAATCATTAACATTGACAAATAAATCAAACGAAAAACTTCTTCTGCATGGAAAACATATTCAATATATGAAAACGATTATCAATTTGGATAACTTAAGACATTTATCTATTACGCTTGAATGTCACATGAATACTGGGCAAGTATTATACGAAATATTGAAAAAATCACCACAATTGACATCACTCGTTATCGATCCGGTTATGTTAATGAAAGTATACGATGACCATGGTGCATGTAAATATCTAAACAAAAGGATTAAAAAATTAGATATACGTTATGCACAGATTCCATTTTCCATTAGATTTTATGTGACCGAAAAGTTTTGTGAAATATTTTCAAATGTTGAATATTTGAAATGTCGAGTAAGACAAGGACACGAATTATCACTTTTATTCACTCATTTATCAAAATTGGCATTTCTTGTTGTCTTTGCACCATTTCCCGACTTACATTTTTATAAAGTATTCAAGGAAAAAATATCAAATCCGAATGTAATGCATGACATAGAATTTGAAGATGATGATGGATGGGAAGGTGCTGCATTTATATCCATTTGGATAAATTGATTTTTTTCTTTTTTCTTTAAAAAATTAAATGAATAATCTATATAATCAAGAAAAATACAATCGTCAAACTTTTAAAAAAGAACGAAATATTAAAAAGAGAGATCTGGAAAAGAATCCAATGTTCAAATAATGTGCATAAGTTTTAATATCGTAAAAATCTTGAGGGTGGGTGTGGGTGCGGGTGTGGATGTGGGTATGGATTTGGGTAGGTGAAGGTGAGGATAAGAGTACGACAGATCTGGATTGAGACAAAACATGTGATATCCACACCACACACCCACAGCCACACCCACCCACACCCACAGCCACACCCACCCACACCCACAGCCACACCCACCCACACCCACAGCCACACCTTCACCCACAGCCACACCCACAGCCACACCCACACCGACACCCACCCACATAAAGATCAATTATTCATCGAATATTTCAATCAAGATTTCTATTCATTTTAATAATATTCGATGGTTAATGTATCATCTAACATAGTGTTTTCGGACGGTGTGATATTGTATCATGACACCGAGTTTTATCGTTTAATTCAACAAACATGTGGTATTTTAGTGGTAGAAATGATGAAGATTCAAGAAATCTCTTCCGTTAATAATCTTTTTCGCACTGAAATAATTTTGGGTTTTTCGTTCTCGACTTCAACGATTTTCTTTCATGAAAAAAGAAACTCAGCATCTATGTCAACAATGGCTCATTTAAAATCAAGCTCGGAATTATTGTAATAGTCGAAAAACTCACTAATGTGCTTCGTAGTTTTAGTGAAACAGTCAGTGTATTAACAAACGGTACAGAAACTATTCTTTCTGGTATTTTTTTCAAAAATTTCCATTTATTCAAAAAATACTTAGTTTCGTTCAAACTTCCGATGATCCAAAGAGTTCAGGGATTCGTTCAGGAACATGTTCCAGATGTGTTCAAATTGCAACTCGATAAGCTCTATTCAATAGTGTAATTAGATTTTCCATAGCTCAAACTATGGGTCCAAAAACTTCAGAAGACTCTCTCATTTCTATACGAATCTTAGATCATATACAGTAAAACTGATAGGAATTCGTTAAGGAACGTGTTCCAGATGCTTCAATTGTGTTTCAAGTACAACTTGACGACCTATATCCAATGATGTAAGTAGCTTTTGCATAAGTAAAACTATGTGTCCATCAGTTACAAGTATTTGGTTTATCTCTATTGGACATACCTCATCATTAATATAATTCTGCGTGTGTGTCGCCTAGTAGCCTGTTTTAGACGTCCAATTTTGTTTTCGAAGTAGAGATCGACAAGCTGTATCCGTGGTTACAATTGAATTTCCTTTAGCGAGGACCTTTTCTTCGGAATATTTGATACGAGAGTTGTTTGTTAAATGAGTTAGTCCTTTGCTGTATATCACTAAACGATTCGTTCTGAAATTTGTTCTAAGATTCGTATAGGACTAAACCAGTTTTTTGGGATTTTTGAACCCATCGTTAAACCTATAAAAAATCGTATTAGAGTTATACTTGGAACATAAATGCAACATCTGAAACACGTTTCTAAACGAATCCCTGCTAATGTCACCGACGTCATATCTAACCAGGATCAACTAGTATATATAAAGACAAAAATTCGAAAAGACAATTCATCCTGTTATCTTTGGTCCACCCTTTATATGATCTGTGCAAATTCACAAATTTCCAGATCAGTTGAAGTCATAGCCGTAGTAAATTTACTACTTAGACATAGGCTGATAGAATTGGTATAGTCGGGATAGGCAGCCACTCAAATTGAAGATTCTTCAGAAAAAACGAACATACACTGTAGATGATAGAAGCACTAACATCGAGAGTGTGACTCTGAATGAAACCTCGATCTCCAACCACACTGAGACTCCCTCATAACCCCACTCATCTTCATCAATGAAAACAATTGTCATTTATTTTTTTAGACAAAAATTTCACTTTACAAAATCTTTAATAAGTTTAATTTTTTCTGATACATGTTAATAGTTCTTCTTATAATACATACAATATCAAAAAGCAAAAAAGCAAAAGTAGGACGTATTTCTGCCTGCATTGACATGTAATGGTAGTTATTGATTAAACGAAGTTCGATAATAAGTTTTTTTCAAAGAAATTCATCATTAGAGATAAACATACTTTGATAAAGCCCTTGATTCAACTTACTATATGAACGTATTAAAATGTAAGAATAAGAAAAACGTTTTTATCTAGCTGGTTAAACGAAATATTGAAACTACGTAAAATCTCATTATTTTAATTAGTTTTTCAGTAAGAGAAAGTTTAAGAAAATAACTGAATAAATTATTTGATTAAATTAATATTTTACAATAAAACGACTATTATGAACAAGATTACAGTGCTTTGTTTTTTATCGAGAAAACTATTCTTAGTAACGTTGTCTTTCTCTATTTAATTTCTCATGACTTATTTAAAGTAATAGATACGATGAAATAAATTGAAAAATTTATTTTATCTCGAATATTTATCTGATAAGGGTGTAGATGTGGATGTGGAATAAGACATCTACACTCCCACACCCAATTTTTAAGCCTACAGGTGTTTTATTTCCATCTGAAAAAATTGGAAAGATGGCAAGAAATTGGAAGAAGCTATCGAATGATCGGCTAGGATACCCGGTTGCTGTAAGTTGCGATCTGCGTCAGAAAACTGCGACCACGAGATTCCTGCTTCGAACGTCTTATTATTTTCTCGAATTTTGCACCTGATTCCCACCGTAAACCCTCAAGTCCAAAAGTCGAAATCATTGGCCTAGGAGTATTGAAAATTAAATTTTAATAATAATCTCTTTCGAATTATTTGTAAGGAAAAATCGAATGAAAAAGAAATAATACAAAACGTTACTGTCAGAACATGTAATGCAATATATCATTCGTCCTAAGAATTGACAATACTGAGATAAAAACAATATAGCATTGTTATGACAAAATAGCTTTCAATAATACTTTCTCTTAGATAGGATTGAACAAACAGAAATTATTCAAAATTCCTTGAAATCTATAGTTGATTATCAGCTGGTGACATCTAGTGATGATTTTCTAACATAATCCGATGAAAGTATAACATGGGCTTATGGATTCGAGTTTGGCCCATTTAAAAAAAAAGTGCATATATCTTTAATTAATTGTTAATCTTTCGAATAGAAAGTGAATACAAAGTAAAATCGATAAAATAAGAAGAAGAAAATGATTGATTATTTAAGTAAATTGCCGATCGAGTTAATTCACAAGATTATGGAACATTTATCGATGTGTGATATTCTTACATCCTTATCTATCGTAAATAAACGACTTCACTCAGTAGCTATCAACTATCATCGCTTTCAACTTGATTTCAAATATGTTAAAAAATGGCAAGATTTTAATTATTTTTGCCGTAGATCGTTACCTCTATCATTTCAAATTGTTTCAGTTAAACTGATGAACCAACATGATGCAGTAATGCCATTGAAAACCCATCAATTCTTCTCTGATCTCAAAATTACAAAGAATACATTTCCTATTTTAAATTCACTTAGTATATCACATATTGATCATAATCTTTGGAAGTCAATTAAAGGTGACATAAGACAAATTAAATCTCTGATTTCTATTTCGATTTATTTATCTACTACATTAAAATACAATCCAGCATGTCAATTAACAGTAGATATTCTTCGTGATTTATTATACTGGTCATCAACACTTAAAAATGTTTATATTGAAGCTGATGATCGATTAGTTGATATTTCTCGTTTCAATCTTCGTCGAGAACAAATTTCTTCAATTGAACATTTAACTTTACGTTATATAACTATCAACATACAACATTTATATTTAATTGTACCCAATCTACGTTCATTTGATTCAAAAATAGCTTCAGTTCATCATATTCAAGATACTTACTTGTATTCTTTTCAACATTTACAACAGTTATCAATTCATGTTAATCGTTTTCATATGTTAACTATTGAACAATTACTTTATCCTATGATAAAATTAAATCAATTAGTTATTACTGGAAATCAGATGTATAATGATATATGTGATGGTCTTGCATGGGAACGAATATTAACTAATATTATATCGTTTAAGTTCATGTTTAGTTTTGAAGAAAATCATGATTTAATTCAACTTGATTCATTTCGTTCATCATTTTGGCTTGAACAAAATCATTGGTATGTTCAATATGATTATTCTAAAATTGGTAAATTTTCATTGCTCTATTCGATTCCTTATTTTATGAATACATATCCATGGTTTCGTATGAAAGAAACGATTGTATCCGAATCAACTGGACAACAACCGATAGTATTTTCTAATGTAAATCGTTTAATTGTTGATTATCAACGACCAATAAATAATGAACTTCGAAATCGTTTTACTAACATTGAAGAATTAATTCTTGAAGATAATGGGAAAAGTTTTGATATGTTAATCAATGATATTGTTCCATATATTGATATGTTGTTTATTAATTCATTAGCTATTAATCAATGTTTTTCAGAATTTGATGAAGATAATTTCGTTCAATTTATAATGAGTATACCTCATTTGCGTTCTATTACTATTCCAATTGATCTTCTCAGATTATCATTGAACAATTGTTGGCGAAAGATTAAACGACTAAAAATATTGCCAAGACGTCAGATATGGTCTGCCAGATTTATGGAAAAAGGTTTAACATCGAATGAAGTCGATATGTTATGTTCTTTGTTTCGTTCTATGGAACAAATTAGTTTTCATGTTGATACAATGCCATATTTACTTGAATTTTTAACAAAAATGCCAAAGACATTATCAACTATAGTTATTGAACATATGATTAATGGTCTATCTACTGACATTACAGCTTCTACAACTTATAAATGTATCCAAAGTTTTGCATGCTCACATCGAGTTTTTTATAAATTTCATGAAAATGAGCTTGCAATTGTGTGGATCTAGTTCTTTGTAACCTTTTTGTTTCAACTGTTATGTTTGTTTTTTTTTG